AGTTTCCAACAAAGTATGTAAATGACACTACAGACATGTGGCAGAAGGTTTTGTAGTCAGATGAGACAAAAATTGAGCTTTTTGGTCTAAATTTGAAGCATTATGTCTGGTGCAAGTCCAACACAGCACATCACCCAGTCAACACCATCCAAATGTCATTCAAGGTGGTAGCAGTATCATGTTATGAGGATTCTTCCCCATCAGCAGGAGGGACTGGGAAGCTTGTTGGGATTGAGGGGAAGATGGATGGTGCAAAGTACAGGAAAATCCTAGAGGAAAACCTGCTTGAGTCAGCCAACAATCTAAAATTGGGTCAAAAATTTACATTTCACCAGGACAATGACCCAAAGCACAAGGCAAAGCCACACTGGAGTGGTTTCAAAAGAAGAAAGTAAATGTCCTGGAGTGGCCCAGTCAAAGTCCTGACTTGAATCTAATGGAAAATGTATGGTGAGACTTTAAGATTGCAGTCCATCAACAATCCCCAACAAACTTGTCAGAATTGGAGTAATTTTGCAAGGAAGGATGGGCAAAAATTACATAATCCTATTGTGTGAAGCTGGTAGAGACCTATCCAAAAAGACTTGCAGCACTAATTGATACCAAAGGTGCTTCCACCAAGTACTGACTTAGGGGGTTGAATACTTATGTAATCAGCAAATTTCAATTTATATATTTTCTTTGCTGGTTTTGCTGACATTCAACCTCCTTCATACATAACAGTGTTCATACACTAGAGTTTTTAATAAAACCAAATTCATTAAAAAAAAAATTTACATTATTTGTATTTCATTAAAATGTGACACTATTGGTAGGGGGTGAATACTTTTGCAAGGCACTGTATCTATCATCAGTCTTGGTTCTGGTCTTGGCATTCTTGGAATGAATATATTACAAAGCTTATCAATCAGTTTTGCCTGTGCAACAGGTGAACTGGTGTTTCACAGAAGAATTATCCAATATTGGCCAGATAGAGCCAAGAAACAGTGGACTGTATGAGCGTATATGGGAGAGAAATCCACAGTACCCCATATACACAAGAGGCATTTTGTGATTTATTATGGAAAATATCTGGTACATTAACTCAACCACTGACACCACGCATCATAATAAAATGTTTTCTGTCCAGAAAGCAAACAGAATTAGCTTGGGTAGTTATATTTCCAAGAGGGGGGGGGTGAAGTCCCAGTACTGTCTTGCAATTACTGATGAACAGCTATCCAGCTACATGTGGAATGGTCATCAGCATGGTAAGTGAGGCAAAAGTATGTGATGTTAGTGGGAATGCTGGGGTTACATCCTTTGCACCACATCCAAAGGTTAATATTTTCTTATACCAAAAATTTATTTCCCATAATACTTACCTCCTCTCACACTTTAGCTTTATCCCAAGAAAAGTTTCTTTTCCCTGCCCATCTAAGCATTGGTATGAATCTTATCTCGCTTGCTCCAGCCTTTATACTCCACTATATTGCCCATGGTGATTTAAAACTTGTGATTCTCTTCATCTACATCAATGCACCCCTATACCAAATCTGTACAATAAAAAAAATACTTGGCTCACCATTATTACTCCCTATTCACTTTTCTCGAGGGCAGAATGTTACAACGATGGTTTTACGTCCTTGCTGCAGGTTTCTCTGGTAATTACTTTATAGGGCTCTTTTTTTTATTCTTTTTTGACTCCTTTATCCTTACTTGTTTTTGCTGAACTCAAAGTTTAAAAGATTCTGAGACAATTGACCTTTTCCACTCAAGATTGAGCTCTAATGTTTCAGGCTCCACTTCTATACTGCACTTCCTAGTTTCTTTTAGAGTATATGATTTGTGTGTCCTGATTGGCTTAAAACAGACATGGGGAAATAAACATTGAATGAATTTTAAACAATGTTTTCTGAGTAGTGAAGATGAGCAAGCATTTTTTTAAATGCAATTCACCAAGAAACAGAAAACAATTAGATGTCTGCAATGCAGTGCATCTTAGATAAAATTTGGTTTCTTTACCATAGCTACATAAATATATACATATATATATTACATGTCAAATTAGCTATTTTGATCATTTAATAATTTATCATTTTGAATTTGGCACAGAATTATATAGTGTATTCCACTATGACTTCCCTCATGCTGTTTTTCTGGTTTTTACTTCTGGAATTTGACATGCTGGAATAAATCTATACATTGCATTATCAATACACTATTTGCCCACATATTTACTGTTTAGATAGTATTGTAATTAATTTTTTACTGATGTAATGAAAAGTTTTGTGGTTCATATTAACACTGCACTATTTCATAGTGTAATTTACCAAATAGAAGGTATTGTATACTGAACCTTAGTGGGATTAGAAATAAAAAAATGACCATTTAATTATTCTTTTTTATTAACATCAACAAAACAGCAGACATCTTGGCATCAGATGATGCCTCACAACAATAAGACATCAGATGTGTGCTCACCTCTGGCAGGACCACTATCCTGAAGTTTCAACAAGTGGTTGAACAATAGGGAGGCAGGAATAGGGTGTCTGTTGATGCTCAATCACCCCCACCACCACCTTCAGTGGTGACTGTGGAGGTACATGACACTTACACAACCACCCACAATCTGCCAAAGTAACACCTTCCTTGTCAAACAGAACCACCTTCACAGTGAATGGCTGGTCTGAGACATCAGGAGGATTGGTGAACCACAGGGCCAATGAAGCATAAGATACCAAAGTCCAAGCAGTAGCCTGCAAAAATGGTTCCTAGTTACCCCAGCCATAACCAAGGGGGTCACCTACCAACAACCAATTCACCACCATCACCTTAGTCCTGACAGTGATGCAAATAAAAATTCTAAGGCAGCACTGCAAGAAAATGGCTCCCAAATAGATGAAGGTCTGGGCATTGTACAACCAGGAAGAGGACCAACATGGACAGTAATCCATGCCACCTACCAGATTAGAAGAAATGGTCTGCTGACTACGAACAACATTAGGTCAAACAAGGTAGGTCCTAGCCAAAGAAATAATTTAGGACATAACAGCAGCCAAACAAAAATCAACAGCTTCTTTATATGATCTACTTTCAGGGCTCAAGTAAGGATAAGAGGCGTTGGAACTCATACTGGATGCTGAGGTTACTACATATTTTGTATATTTATTTATTTAAAGGTTGTGTGTATTATTGTATGTATCTGTATCTTATTTTCCTTTTTTTTCTTATTTTTATGTATGTTATTATTATCAATTTTTACTTGAAGTTTACTGTAACTGACTAAGCATGAACATTGTTTTTTCTATATGTATTAATACTTATGTTTTATTTCAAGGGTATTTCTTAGTTGTTCCTTAATTAAAAGGGTTTTTCATTGGTATCCATGTATCTATTGTATTGTGATCCCTGTTAGATGGATAAGTTACACATTTTCAAATTGTCAGGTATTGTAATTATTATTGAAAGGTGTTATTTTTTGTCATAGTTCACTTTAATTTTTTGGTTTCAAAGGTTTTTGTTAATTTACATATTAATACATTTTTTAATGTTTGTTTCGCATTCATTCTGTTTTCTGAATCAGTGTTTTTTGTAAAAGGTTTGGTGTATAATGATTGTAAGTTTAGTTTTTATAAATGGTTATTTTCTTTAAGTGTTTGGTATCACATTTATGCCTGGGTTGTGTATATTAGAAAGATGTTTATTATGTCAGTAAGAGTTTTAATATTATTTCATAATTGATATCTTCATTGAATCATATCTTATCAAGCAAACCTATTCTATGTAGCTCTAGAGTTAATACAGTTTTTCCAGAATATACCACGTGTTAGAAATGTATAAAAATGTGTTATTTAATATTTATCTTATCTATAAGTACAATGTTTCTACTACTTTAAGTCTATATAGTGTAACCAAATTTCTAAGCCCAAAAACTGAAACAGTCCAGCCCTTGCCACTAATTTCAAAATGGTTATAACAAATTTGAAATAATTTAACTTTTATTGAATAGAGTTGTTTAAACATTTGTTTAACAACAAGTAAAAGCTTGGAATGATC